ATTTCACTTCAACTATATTACATACTCGTATGAGGAAGTGTATTCTAGAGCTTGGGTAGTATTTTTACCCGAAAAGATAGTATGTGTTACGATGTTATAAGCAGTAGTAGTAAAAAGTGCCTAGTGCTAGAAGAATGCATGCAAAGGTATAGTAATCTAAGAAAGAAAGATAGTGATTAGGCAAATTATGTTATTGCAGTCATGTACCCAGTAAGTTATTAATTAGGAGTTTTTCCTTATGGGTATACTAAGAAGTATGAATTGTGTAGATTTCATGATATAAGGTAGATTAATAGTTACTAGTCAAGATGAGTTAGAGTATACTTTAACTAGAAAGCAGTTTATGTCGATGTAACATTGAGTTAATGAAGACAAAGTATATATGTTGGATAAAAAAAGCAGAGTAGTCATAAGGTGATAGATCTAGCTAGGCTTATGATTTAAAGGGAGAACCCATGATATTCAGAGAATTATAGAACTAATTAAGTACCAATGTATAGTGAATGGGTAAATAGTACTCAAGTTGTGAAATGGAATGTGACAGTAAACTATAAGTACGTAGACTGAGAGATAAAGATTGACTACTTGTCATGAGATCTTAGTGGGTGAGTATTTCTTAAATCAAAAGGATGGCAACATGAGGGTGATATGTTAATTCGAGATATGATCTGGTAAGTTTGACATAAATTAGGTGAGAAATTAAGGTCTTACTTTAGATTAGCGTGAGTGGCACAAGTGTGGTATTATGACTCTTAGATAAGAGCAAGTGAGTGTGGCTAAGTCATTAGATTAGCAAGAGCATTAACAGGTGTACCTGAGATCGTATGTAGTCAGAGGAGGTTCCAATTACGTTAATGATTTTTTATGTGTGCCTAGATAATAAATTTGAGTTGTCACTGTGGAGTACGTTGATGTAAGCATTATTTATTATCCTCTAAAGTTTGGTAGAAAGAATCATATATAGCCAAGGATAAACCTCTTCAATATAGTTCAGTTTCCTCCAGTTATCTTGATATGAACTTAGAAAGGACTGTATTAGTGGGATAAGAAGGAGGAATCAAACTATTAAGAGTTATATTAAGCGGCTTTATAAGGAAATGAGAAGAGGTTAAGAGAAGCATCTTAGAAAGAGGTCTTAGAAGGAATCTTAATACCTGCATATGGAGAGTTCAGTAGCCATGAGATAAGTTTTTCAGAGTATTAGAGTAAAGCAAATGTAGACCAGTTTAGAGATGATGGAATAGATCCATAGCTTTAAAGTGTCAGCTTCAAACCTAAGAGGGAGATGATAAGATGAGAAACCAAGTCAAGTGTGGAGAATTAGATAGCGATGTGTTCAAAAAAAGTTTTAGAGATATATCAATCCATTCATTCTCTAGTGTATTCCTCAAAGTCAGTCGTTACAACATCATGTTGATATCTTTAATATCAAAATTGTGTTCATGACTTATGCTCATACACTTCAAAAAGATTCACATTTATGCTCAGTTCCTAGAGTGAGGAGCAAAGACTTTAGCCCATTGATATTAATCTTACTCCATAAAGTTATGGATATCAGCCTCATGATATGAACCTATTCATATAGACACTCATGCCTCATAGTATGCGTAGTCTCGCAAATTCATGATTTACTCTCAATGGATAGCAACATAATGTTATGTCATGCATATTCTTATATTAGAATTCTCGAATGAATCATGCTTATGATCTTTGGACCTAAAGCTCTTTCACAAATCCTTTTAGTTAGAGAGTGATGTTGATGATAGTAGTTGAGTGATGATAGAAGAAGAATGTTGATGTTTCTTATGTTGGTAGCAGTAGTGTGCTTATTCTATCTAAGGTTATATAAGGGGAGGAAGGATGAATGAAGTCTTACTATGAAAAATAGTTAAATGAGAGCAATTAGTTGGTTCATGTTAGTAATGCATGAATTTTCAGTTAGTAGAGATGATGAGAGAATGAGAAATTCTTAGAAGGATTGCTTAATAGAATTTCATGGTGTGGTTATAGTACTAGGCATGAATGTGGTGTTGTTAACATGTAGACAAATTCATTATGTGTTTCTTGATATGGGTTCAAGGTTGGTTGAATGTGGTTATATGGAGAAGTATTCTTGGGATAAGATTCCCTATAGAGGTATAGAACCGAATCTTGTGGTCTAGATTAGTATAACCATCTCATGTTTAGCATCTTACGATTTAGAGATTAGGCTTGAACTCAGTAAGAGCAGACAATTTAACTTAGACCTTGGTAACAGTAGTCATAAACCCTTGAAGTAGTTATGGGTTGCAGCTAATGAGGTGCGGTATTCATAAAGGAGGGCATGGTTTAGAGGTGTTGTTAGGCTTGAAAGTTAACAATTGTATTGTTTAAGACATAATAGTCCTATTCTTACTTCATTCCCAGATTTCCTTTGTTTCATATAAGATGACTTTAGATAGAGCGTGACTATTTCCAGAACAATATCGTTCTTGACTTTTGTGCTATAGACAGTTCCAAACTCTTAGTATGATTCGTCAACAATATCATTCTTGACGAATAATCCCAAAGCGGAGATATTGTAACACCTCAAAAATTCTAAGCTAAGACCTGAATTATTTTTTAACACCTCACAACTTTACTCTTAAAAATTTCAATCGTCTGTGTAACACCTCGGACTTTGAAAAGGACTAAAGAGTGGGTAACGAGCAAGTCCACGAACCCAAAATGGATCATGGACCCTTCACGGCATCCTAGACGGTCCATTTAGGGGTCCACGGCCCGTGTAGGGCATGGTGGACGACCGTCCAAGGCTTCCAAGGTGGGAGTCACCTAGACGGGAACCCAGACAGACCATGGTGACTTGTACGGTTCGTTTAGGAGTCCGTACAAGTCATCCACTAGTTTTTTAAGTATTGGGTCAACTTCAAAAAATCATATCTCTCAGGTCAAAATGAATTAGGTGGCTCATGACCTATCAAATTAGAGGTATTTGAGTCATCTTTCCAACGTCACCAAGTTTACCTCATTTCAAGCTCAAAGAAAAAGGTTATGCTCATTTTAGTAAAGCATTGTCGGGCAGGTGAAGTTTCACGACCAGCTAGATGGCCCGTGAAGAGTTTCACAGACCGTGAAGCCTTAAATGGTCTGTGAAACTGCCCATTTTAGGCACCTCATTAGTTTTGAAGTTGGGATTGTTTTGGTCTTTCCCCTCTATCGTTTTTAACCCTATTCTAAGTCGTTTATGAGTGTTTTAATAGAGGATATCATTCAACTAACTAGTTTCATCAATCAAAACATTCAAGTATTTAGAAATTCATTTAAGAGTCACCTAGGGTTCCTCTTCTCCAACAACAACCCTAAAACCTTCAAGTCAAAAATTCAAGATACAAAGAAAGTGTTTCTTCTCTCAAGACCAAGCCCCAAGAATTCAAGTTCAAGATAAATCAAGTTTCCACCAAAGTTTCCATTCTAAAATCTTCATAATCAGGTATGTAAGGTCATCATAGTGTTGGACTAGTTCGTCCTCACACCCTATATCTACTTTCAAATTAGTAAGAGAGTAATCTAGGTTCTATCCTTAGGATTTCAGTATTCTTGAGATGAGTTGATATTGAGTTCTGAATTCTTGAGTTGTTGATTATTGAATTCCTATTTATAATCATTGAATTGTCGTACATTGTGTATTGTGATTATTGAGTTGATTGTTCATGACTATTTTTCAGCATTAACCCTATTTTTAAGTATTATGTAAATATTTATTGAGAATCATTTAAACAAAAAATTATTGTTTAAACTGAGTTTTGAGGAAGTAAAGAGCAGTTTGAGAAAGAGTATAAGGGAACTAAGTATTTCCCAAATGTCTCATTTTTACATGAAGAAAAAGAGTAGACTTTATTTTAGAAAAGTTAAAAGAATTTTCAAGAAGATTAAGTACAGATCATTTACCTTTTTACTCAATGTAAAAATACCTTATTTTCTAAATGAGCAATGTGTTTCAGGGATATTTCAGAGAGGATAGTTTGAGCAATTATCTCAAACCAGAGAAAGAGTATGTTTTTATACATTTGAGAAAGTGTATATGTTATTGGGAGTAGTATTAAGCACCGACATGGGGGAGAGTTCAGACAACTCACAGCTCTCATAAACCATGTTTTGCCAACATTGATACAAGATCATACGTTTTAGATGAATCCTTAGTGCCTTCGGGCAGAGCTTAGTGATCCACTTAGTTGAGGTGTGCTATATCCCAGCACGATATAGGAAAGTTCTAGTAGTGTGGACAAGACGTTGTATACTCACGTGGCTCATAGTTGTTGACACCCAATTTTGGACCTCCACAATATATATTAATCATCGAGTTTCTTAAATTCCAAACGATTTGAAATAATTTACTTTGTAAAGTTCAAAATGTTTTTCAAGTTACTTTAATCAATTTCATCATTTTTATAATTTTTATGTAATATACATGTTTTATATAATTTGTATATAATTAGTATATTTTATAAACATTTTGAAAATACATCTCAAAAAGATTTTAAACTTTTAGTAAGTATTTTATTAAAATTAGTTTAGTATAAATTATAGTTATAATTTCGAGTTATTTAAATTAGTTAGTTTATAATTGAGTTAATTATTTTATTTCATCAAAATTAAGAAGCTCATTAATTAATTATATTAATTCGTCCTATTTAAGTTTTAGCCGAATTTGCTAATTAAATATCAATTTGGCTAATTTCTTAATTCCCATTTAGCCATTTTTCCTATTGCAAATCTAACCCAATTTAAACCCTTTTTAGACTTAAGTTTTGGGCCTTTTTCAGCCGGCCCAGTTCCAATTCAATACCTTCCTTCAGCAGCCCACTCTTAACCAACCAAAATTCAAGCCCACTAATTTAATACCAAGCAAACCCATTCCAACAATACAATACATACAACACCAAACCGACCCAATCCCTGACCCGGCCCCATCCTCTTATTCCCTTTCAATTTCAATACATCAACAGTAGCAGTACCAAAACCGACCCCTGCTTCTTCTTCCTTCCAAACAACAGACAAGCAACGTTCAAATCCCAGCAAATCCGGAAATCAGCAGGTGTCTGCTGCGCCCATACTCTTCATCGTCCCCTTCCCCCCTTTTCACGGAAATCAGATTTTGCCCATCCCCTTGACTGTGGTTTCGAAAAGAGCAGAGAGGATTGAAATTGTTGTTTGAATTCTCAATGGATTTTCCCCCCTAAAACGATTTTTCTTCTTCTATATATTCCCTCTTTCAATCACTGTTTGAAGGGGGGGATTTTTTTTGGCAAGAACTTATAGAGAAATACATCTTAAATATATATATAAGTTCTTCCTTTGTTTGTGAGCTGCTAGTATTCATAGGAGTTTCCGGAAGATCGCAGTCGGTGGTCAAGTCGTTACTCCTTGTTCATCCTGTCCCTGTTCGCTGCCCACAACAAGGTAAGCAACTCTCGGCCTCTTCCCTTCTTCTTTCCGATTTCGATGAGTGTTAAATCAAGAAATATTTGTAGTTGGGTTATGAGTTGATCTTATATAGTTTGAGCCTAAGTTTTCTCTTCTTCGTAGTCTTTCCGAAACTATTATGTGTATTTCGTATTCAAAATGATTTTATCGCCTGTTTGATCTGCTTTTCTCTGTTTATGGCTCTTCTCGAGTTTTTCTTAGCATGAGTTGTGCTCATTTCGATTTCTGTTTGTTTATTCGTTAATCATCTTAATACTACTC